AAATTTATTTCATATTAGAATAATGTACATCAATATTAGAAGGTGGCAATTTAAATGATATGCTTGGTGGGTTGATGATCACTAAGTTGAGCTGGTTTTAAGAGGAAGTATAAGAATTGGCAGAGCAAATACCCTAGATTAGGTAATTAGGAGCTGTGGTACTAAGTATCAAAACTGCTTTTAACTACTATAAACTGCTATAAACTGCTTTATACTGCTATAAACTACTATGAACTGCTATAAACTACTAAAGAGTACCAAAAACTGCTTTAAACTGCCATAAACTACTACGTCCGGTTATAAACTATTAAAATAATGCTTAAAACTGCTATAGTCTACTAAAGACTACCATAAACTGCTTTAAATTGCCATAAACTTTAATGTACGGCTATAAACTATTATAAACTGATTAAACTGCTATAAACTACTGTAAACTGCTATAAACTGCTATTAGCTGTTACAAACGACTATACACTGCTATAAACTGCTTTTAGCTGTTTTAAACTGCTATAAACTACTATAAAATAATCCTGCATAAGCAGTGAAGCTTTGGAGTGGTTGCAGTGAAAAAACTTCATACCTAGCTACCCCTGGACTATCCTATTTAAATTTACTATCCTAATAATCTAGAAATATTCACCCAATCTCCAATAAACCCCCTTAAGCATTCATTTGTTTAAACATAATATCGTACATGATGAACAATAACATACATGCTCGAATTATTATTATTATTATTAGTTTTAATAAATCAATTCCAACACAAAATTAAATAATCCTAAACATAGATTATCTACCAAATTCGATCAACATTAAACGTTAGATTATCGATTTAAACAGTAACTTCCGTACTTTCGCATAATCTTGTAGTCAGCGTAGGATTATGTTTAATTTATTCAACATACAAGGTGTTGTATTTATGTATTTGAAAGTTTTCCTGATCAATCGGCAATTACCATAAAAGTATCTCATGTTCCTCATGATCGAAAAAATATTCAACCAGTTTTTTTAAGTTGATAAATTTCTTTGTTTAGTTCCAATGAAAATGTTGATGTTGCTGTGCCTTAAATTAATAAGATTTAAGTTATCTGATTTTATTTATTATTTATTAATCTTGATACTTAGAGAGGAGGTAAGTGATGCTATGTGAAGATATGCTTTGGATTGTTGCTTTGAAGTCTGATTTTGAAGCAATCGGTGTTATTTACAATTGTTGAAGACTAAGTTAAACTAATTTGAAAATATTTTGGTTTAAAAATTTAACTTACATCTTCTGGTTCCTAATTACATGTTCTTATATAATCGGGAGGAAGTATAAATTTCCTTGGAACCTTTTTTGGCTATACATATGACACATAGTGACACATAGTTATCCTAGCTCATAGGAACCAAAATATCTCAAAGAATATCAATTCTAGAAGTTCTGCTTCAAAATCTCACAAGATTATTATTTCAATAAACAACTCACAATATCCAAATTGTCCCAAAACAACACTTCTGCCATACTGCTGCTTCTAAAAAATAAAAACATTTTGCATTTCTACTCCACAATCTTCACAATGTCAAGAACTTCAAACATTGCACCGAATAAAGCTCCAATATACATAGGAAACTCAATGTTTGGTTGAATGCCAATAATGTTAAAGGTCCTATATGTTTACACTCAGTGCTTTACTTTTTATCTATTCTGCTCTTTCCGACTCTCTTTTTTCATTCCTAAAACCGCACGAAAAAGTTGCATGAATCGATGTATTTTTTATTTTTTTGGCAAACAGCTATGTGGAAAAAATTATGTTAGTTTTGTATATGCGGAACTACTGAATATATTAGACCGAGGCTACACAGTTCGGAATTGCATGGCACAGAAAAGAGAAATTAATTAACATGAGAAACAGAAGAGGAAATGCATATAATATGTTCAATTTTGGGGACTATAAATATGAAAATATTTTCTGAGATATTAAAATGAGTTTCAAAGTTGATAAAGTTCAAATGGATTAGTTTGTGTTTTGGACTTGAATATTATTTTAAAAATTTAAAATTTATTTGAGAAAGAAGCAAAAAGTTTTTTTTTTTGAACACACTTTTGAAGCAAAACTTTTTCTGAACACATTTTTAGAGCAAAATCTTTTCTGAACACACTTTTGAAGCAAAACTTTTTTTTCTGAACACACCTTTGAAGCAAATATTTTTTGAACACACTTTTGATGCAAAACTTTTTTTATACACACTTTTGGAGCAAAAAGTTGTTTTTTTTTTCTTCAAATTTCAACATCCGACAAATCCCAAACATATGTAGCTAAAGCCTTAAACGTTGAAACATTAAACAAAAGCTTCATAGCATCCTTGATTATACCATTTAATCCCTTTCAACATAACAATATTTTAACAATAAATTTATAAAATCAAAATTTCAATTCATCCACTAAATGAGGATAAAGACCTCCCAGGGATTAACTAATTGCACCCACATTACAAATTACAAATTTTCTACATCCTCAGTTCATTAAACAGCATAAAAAGATACATCGTTTAACCACATAAACAACAGTGGATAATAAAAATCAATTATTCAGTGCATTAAAATGACTCACGTGGATAGGATGCGTACATAAACAATTTGTTGTTGCTCTTTATGCTGCATTGTACACTGAATGTAATTTTTAATTGACTTAAAAAGGTTTAAAATAACGCGTACACGTTTTCAATTTTCTGCATATTAATATGCTGTGTTGTGTATTGAATATCGATTTTATGCTTCATTTCCTATGAAATTTTGCTCTTGTGGTGAATTTTCGTTTTGTGCGAAAAGTTTTTTATGTCGTTAGAAGTGCAGATTGGGTGGTTTTGAATATCATAAATTATTTCAGATACTTTGTTTATCAATTGAGCGGTTCAGTGAAATTTAAGCTTGATTTTGTTTTTAAAAGGCAGAACATTTATTCCTGAACGCACGTTTGATGCGATTTTTTTCTGAATTCACTCTTGAGGCAGAACATTTATTTCTGAACGCACCTTGGATGCGATTTTTTTTTCTGAGCTCACATTGAGGCAAAAATGTTTTTCTGAACGCACCTAAGACGCAAAACTCAAATTCTCACAGTTTTAATGTTGTTGTTTTTTTTACGTTGCGCGTGTTAAGCAGTTGCCGTGTATGTTATGCATAAAAACTGAATATAATTTTCATTACCGTCTATAGAAATCAGATGAAAGCGAAAATTAATGTTGCTTTGTGGTCTCCTGTCATTTACTTCTTTTATTCTGTTGTTTTTCTTGTTTTTAAAGTCTTTAACTCTTGTTATGTGTTAGATAAATATTCACATATGGAAAAAGAGTGAAACATCTTAAACATTTCATCGTTTGTAAAGAGATGGAAAGTAAATATGAGTTATGAAAATGAGTGGTAAGTGGAAGCGCAGTCTTAAGTGTAGCTTGATGCTTAAGAATTTATTTTTGATTTACCATTAAAACTTGAACAGTTAAAACCATAAAAATTTGAATTTCTGCAAAACGTTAAAATTTGAACTTATAAAACCGTAAAAGTTTGAATTTCTACAAACCGTTAAAATTTGAACTTCTAAAACCGTAAAAGTTTGAATTTCTACAAACTGTTAAAATTTGAATTTCAAGAAACCGGTAAAATTTGAATTTCAAGAAACCGGTAAAATTTAAACTTATAAAACCGTAAAAGTTTGAATTTCTACAAACCGTTAAAATTTGAATTTCCACAAGCCGTTAAAATTTGAATTTCTTCAAACCAAAGCATTCACCAAACTGACTCAAATTACCACAAAACAAAGCTAACAGAAAGAAAAACATAGAAGCAGAAACTAAGAGGCGTAATCGGAAACGTTTAACAACTTCTTCACATCCATGTTGACAATTCCCTTAATAGTATCGACAACGACCATAGATATGAGTATGGGAAATACGAGAAGAGGATGATTATGAAGTAGTAACACATGAACTTATATGCATCATGATTGCTTATCGTTCTACAAATATTACAAGGCAGCATGTGAGGATGAAGCAGCTGGATGATGTTTGTAGAAGAAATTCGTAATTATTATTATAGCCATTGCACTTACTGTCGTGTTCATGACGACAAAAAAATCACACAGTAATTGATGTTCAATATTATAATATTTTACATCGCACAGCATGATAATCGCTGATGATATTTCATAAATATTATGTGGAGAAATATGGAATGACCATTGAAAGTGAAATGAATGATGAGGCTTTATGCGTATAATTTGATGCATTTTGTGAGAAATTTTTATTGATATTTTAATGGATTGAATTTGATTGATTGGATGAGTAATGATTTGGGGAGGTACGAATGAGGTAATTTTTTATTAATTTGACAGTTTGTGAATGTTTTTTTTTTATGATGGATTCATGTGGGACTTGTTGATTGCTAATTTGTATGGTAGGCATTTATTAAATGCATTCATATTGTGCATATTCTTATTTATAGATTTTTGAAAGTTAAAATTAATTCATGAATTAATTAAAATGAGTTGCTTTGAATCAAAATTCGACATTAGACATAAGTGCACTTATGATGTCCAAGAGGGGGGGGGGGGGGGGGGGTGTCAACAAGAAAATATCAAGAGAAATTCCTGGAATTCCATTGTTCTTTTTTTAAAAATGACCGTAAATATCGGAACTCATAAGTGAACGACCCCTAAACTACATTAATGATTTTCTGAAATGAATTTAATTCTGAATTTATTTGGACTGTTAAAATTTGAATTTATTTTGACTGTTAAAATTTGAATTCATTTTGACTGTTAAAATTTGAATCTCTAATAACGGTTATTTTTGAAAATAAAAAAATTGTAGGTATTTCGGGTATTTCACAAATAAAAATTCAAAAAACTATCTCATTTCTGAACACATTTATAAATATGATTATAGCAACATTATTTAAACAAATCATTTAAATTTTCAAATCATCACAAAAAGTCTTCTTATAAATAAAGTCTTAGAAAAGGATGTCATTCGATCTGACAGAACATCTTTACTATTCAAAATCTTTAAACACATCAAACGCATTCGAACGCAATTACATATTTGACTTAAACGACGATCTAGTTCCACAAAATCTTCGAGAAGCCTTCATGTCAGAAAATTCCGATCCAGCACAACCACAGATTGTAATATTCAAGAATAATGTTATCAATACTTCATCGTCTATCGAATTAATCAAATCAGATGACAATCAAGCTGATTTCATTACCGAATTACAATCAATTACAAGAAGTGGCAGTGACAACGTGATAAATGACCGAGACATTCAAAATTCCAATGATGATCCTGAAAAGTGGTATCCAACACGAACATGTCCAAATGGATGCAATTGTGGCAAATGTCCAATAGATAATGACATCCAACAATCCCAAAGCATTATGTCATTAGTTCCGAGCAATTCATCCACGTCGATGACTTTAGTGCCAAGCAATTCAAATTTTTTCATATCAATCACAGATGTTGTTCCATTACGCGCGAATTTTGGCGCCATAATTCATTGGAATGTGCTGCACTATCACGGAATTAGTGGCTACAAAATATTCCTCGATGGACAGCACGCAGCATCGGTTTATTCGCCCACACGAACTGTCGCATTCATTGACAATGTAAATATGAAATTTTCGCATCATTTTGCTGTATCAATCATGAAAAACGGAAGTGCTAGAGAAGCATTTCAGCACCACAGCATGCAAGCCATTTATCTTTATGATCCAAATAATTTCATTCATTAAACAAATCTTTTTTTTTTGCTGCTGCTGTCTGAAGTAGCCTAGTAGCTGTGGCTAGTAGCAGAAATTGAAATATAATAACTCATTAAATTATTTTTTTTTTCATCATCGAGGAAAGCACGAATTAATGTGCATTGTGCTTTAGTTACAGTAATAATGGATATAACGAGATAGACAAGCAAGAGAAACAACAGCACAAAGCATGGCTATAGTTAATGGATTTATTTATTTATTGAAGAGAGAAAAATATAAAAAGAATGAAATTTCGTAATCGGAATAAATTCTCGCTTATTTTTGCTTCTTTCTGCAGCACAGTATGTGCTTCTAATTGAACGAAATCCGACAATGATTACTGACGATGATGATGATGATTATTACTTTACAATAAATGTATAAGTGAATAAATTCACTCTCAATTTATAACTTTTGTTTAGGAAAGTTGTGGGATTTGATTTAAGGCGCAATTACTTGTTGATAATTAATATTCTCACACTTGCCTGATTTAAAAGCTATGAAAGGAAAGTTTGAAAGACTTTGTTGTGGATTTCTTGAGTAACAATCTAAATAGCTCTTTGCATTAAATGTTATACTTTGCTGTTTTTGGGTACTTTTAAGAACTGGCAATCTTACTGCATGGAAGTCAAATTGATCAATATCTTCAAAATCGTTCAAAATTGTGCTAACATTTGAAATAAGCTCATATAACTAGACTGTATGTTTCAAACTAGAAGCAAAAGTACCTTGATAACTCAGTTCGTAAGGCACAGGTCACAAAAGATGGTGTTGATTTTGTAATCCCGGGTTCAAATCCTACCATCAGATTTGGAGTTTGTACAGAAGATTAGATGCTTTGAAACCTTAGTTGTAGCAGATTAAGAGATAAAAGTAGGAATTAATCTCAATTAGAATGAGAATGGATACAACGAACTTAAACTTAAAACTTAAACCTCAATATCAAAAACATACTTGACTATTTACAAAACCTTACCCTTAAAATCCTCTCAGCAGATCATTATGACATAATAATAATGTGTGAAGGGCCCAGCCTTTCAGCTGTAGGCACTGCGATTCAAATTAGAACAGAATCTATTCTACCACACCCTTAAGACCTACAGTTTATAGTGGGATCCGAACCACTTGTAAGCTCTGCACATTGCAAAGACACGAGTACGTCATAAGACCTGATGTACCTTGCAATGTAGCTAGTCACAATTCGTGTGCACAAGATGTTGTAATGAAATCATCCAGATGCTAGTTTATCCTTGTATACCTAGCAAAGGAGGCATATTCTATGCCACAGACATCAATACTACACCCAACACACGAACCGAGCTTCGTAACTAGAACGGTGAAAATTGAAAAAGAACTTTGAAAATTAAACATGGCCTGGGATTGAACCCAGGACCTTTGGCACAGAAGGCCAACGCTCTACCATTTGGGCCACTGATGCCATTTCACCGCTTATTATGACATAACATGATCAATAGTTTTCTATTCCAGAGAAATTTGCACAATAAAAAAAAATAATAATTTTCATTTCCTTCGACAAATTTCAAGCAGTTGAAATCGAGTAATGTGCATATTTTATTTCATTAGCAGTGAACATTGAGGCACCAATAATGCACCATAGAGTGCAAAATGAACAGGAAAGAGATACGACCAACGGCAATGTATCAGTGAAAGTATCAAAATGTCTATTTAGCTACAGTTAAGAAGCTTGAAATGCTAACGATCTTTAAGTCAATTTTACTTTCAATTGTGGAAATGTTCATAAATTACGTCACCATCATTAATATCTCTTAAAGTCTTTTTCTTTGACTATAAATTTGGCATTTAAAATTATTATTGACTCTCTTTTGTTATGCAGACAATCACGATTATAGATGCGCATTATGCTTTGACAAAACATTCAGCATAAACTTCAATTTCCTTTCTTTTCTCCTCGTTAATCTGCTAATTTATTTATTTACCTTTTTCTTTCATTTCTCAGCATTTGCAGCCAAATCGAAATCCAATAAGCAGCAACATCGAAGGAATTCAACATATTCGACAGCGAGACAACCGAAAATTATGTATGGATTTCCAACACGCGATGGAGAATTCGGTTGGCAAGCATCGCTTGAATTGCTACATCCATCACTCGGATTCATTGGTCATTGGTGCGGTGGCGTGCTTATAAATAAATATTGGGTTGTGTCGAGTGCTCATTGTGTTCATAAGTGAGTAAGGCTTTGCGAGGGAAGTGAGAGATGAATGCAATGAAATGTGAATTTGTGGTCATGAAATTAAATTGCAAGTTTGTTTAAATAAAAGAAAAAGGTTCAGATTAATGCTAGGTTTTTGGAGGTTATTTGAGTGCGGAAAATTGGATTTGGAGATTTTGATTTTGTTGGTTTGCTTAGCAAGCTTAAATTTTGACACTGAAGTCATATTTTGAACCTTGAGTTCAATTTGTAAGCCTAATATTCAACATTTGAATTTTGAACTCAATTTTTGAACCTAAAGTTTAATTTTTGAACCTAAAATTAAAGTTTTGAATCTTGAGTTCGATTTTGAACCCAAAGTTCAGTTTTTGAACCATGAGTTCAATTTGTGAACATAATATTCAACTTTTGAACCTTGAGTTCAATTTGTGAACATAATATTCAACTTTTGAACCTCTTAGCTCGATTTTTGAATCTAAAGTTAAATTTTTGAACCTAAGGTTTAATTTGTGAACCTAATGTTGAACTTTTGATCCTTGAGTTTGATTTTTGAACCTTAAGTTCAATTTTTGAACCTGAAGTTAAATTTTTGAACCTTACATTAACTTTTTGTTCATTTCCAAAAGTTCATTTGCTTGATCAAATTGGTTAACATTAAAATTACATAAATTCTCCTGTAATTCTTAAAATAACAAAATCTTCACTCCACATCTCACTATCTGATAAAGATCCAATAAATTGCCTATAAAATTTTTCTTTCATAATCTCTCTTGAACAAAAAAAAATCCAAGCGATCCAATAGCGCACAGCAGTTATAAATTAGCACCATAAATCTCAATAACTTAAAGCATTTCTTTCATTCCATTCGAATACAGAAACAAAATCAGTAATAACAATTCTTTTATATCCACAGTGATTTATTCAACCTGCCACTTCCTGCCCTATGGACAGTTGTGCTAGGTGAAAACAATCGTAAAGTTGAGACTGGCTACGAGCAACGAATTCCAGTCGATAAAATTGTTATGCATGAAAAATATCGACACTTTAAAAATGATTTAGGTGAGCATGTGGATTACCTCAAAGATTTTACAAATTTTTCTTAATAAATTCTTTTTAGTCCTCATGAAGCTTTCAAGAGCCGCAAATTTATCACCAAAGTCAAGAGTTCGAACAATCTTTTTGCCATCATCGAGTCACACAAAAATCAATCCGACACGTAATGGACAATCATCAAAATACACGTGGAATGATAATGACGATAATTTATTAAATCTTGATCGAAATGAAAATTATTTAAGAAAATTGGATACGACATCGAATGTTGCATTGATGGATAAAATAAAAAGAGTAAATCGGAATGAGATTACAAAGAGGGAAAGTTCAAAAACTAAATTAAGATCTGATGATGATAAAGTCAGCAGTGCCAATAAGACTAAGGTTATGAATAGCAGCAAATTTACGAGAAATTCTACATCCACTGCCAAGAAAAATCATCGACGTAATGACAAATTTTTACATAGACGACCAACAAATCCAGAAGATTATGAATTGTTCATGAGTGCAAAAGATAAACAGCCAACGAGTTCATCGATCGATTATTATGATTGCTGGACAGTCGGATGGGGGAAGTGGATGGAAAGGGGTGACTTATCGGATGTTCTGCTGAAAATTGATGTGCCTATTCATGATATGCAACAGTAAAGAATAATTTTTATATTTTTTGAGGATGAGGCTTATTTGGTTTCTTTGGGGTGATTTTATCATGTTTTAGATTTTTGATCTTGAACTTTTCAAATTTTGATCTTGAAATTTTAACTTTTGATCTTAGAATTTTTAAAACTTGATCTTGAAATTTTCAACTTTTGATCTCAAAAATTTTTAAAACTTGATCCTGAAATTTTTACTTTTGATCCTGAAATTATTTGAACTTGATGTTGAAATTTTTAAACCTTAGTTTTGAAACTTTTAAAACTTGATTCTGAAATTTTTTACTTTTGATCTTAAAATTTTTTACTTTTGATCTTGAAGTTTTAAAATTTGATCTTGAAATTTTAACTTTTGATCTTGAAATTTTAACTTTTGATCTTGAAATTTTAACTTTTGATCTTGGAAATTTTATAATTTGATCTTGAAATTTAAATTTTTGATCTTAGAATTTTAAAAGCTTGTTCTTGAATTTTTAACTTTTGATCTTGGAATTTTTAATCTTTGATCTTGAAATTTTAACTTTTGATCTTGGAATTTTTTACTTTTGATCTTGGAATTTTTAAAATTTAATCTTGAATTTTTAAATTTGATCTTGAAATTTTAACTTTTGATCTTTTAATTTTTAATCTTTGATCTTGAAATTTTGAAAATCTGATTTTGGAATTTTTTACTTTTGATCTTGGAATTTTTTACTTTTGATCTTGAGTTTTTTAAAATTTGATCTTGAAATTTTTAAAATTTGATCTTGAAGTTTTAAAATTTGATCTTGCAATTTTAACTTTTGATCTTGAAATTTTTAAAATTTGATCTTGAAATTTTAACTTTTGATCTTGGAATTTTTATAATTTGATCTTGAAATTTAAATTTTTGATCTTATAATTTTAAAAGCTTGTTCTTAAATTTTCAACTTTTGACTTTAGATTTTTAAAATTTGATCTTGAAATTTTCAACTTTTGAACTTAGAAGTTTCAAAACTAGATTCTGAAATTTTTAACTTTTGATCTTAGAAGTTTTAAAACTTGATCCTGATATTTTTACTTTTGATCTTGAAATTGTTGAAACTTGATGTCGAAATTTTTATGCCTTAATCTTGAAACTTTTAAAACTTGATCTTGAAATTTTTTCAACTTTAATCAAAAATTTAACAAAATTACTATCGTAGTCTTTATAAGCTATAATATTTTCATTTTATTAAAATCCAATCAATGTTAATTCCCTCACAGATGTGACGATGTTTATTCAGGGTATGTGTCCTTAAATAACGCACAGCATTTATGTGCGGGACGACTAGACGGAAGCGGTGGCTCATGCATTGGCGATTCAGGTAAAAAATTATTGAATAATTTAGATATAAACATTTTGCTTCATTCAAAAACTCTTCTTGCAGGTGGCGGTCTACAATGTAAATTAGATAAAAATGGTCCTTGGATACTCGTTGGCATAACAAGTTTCGGTTCGGGATGTGCTAAAGAAGGATATGCTGATGTATTCACGAACGTTGCATATTATCGAAATTGGATCGATAATGTTATTCGAAATAATTAAAATGGAAATGAACTTTTGATGCGGTTGTTATGGATATTTGTGAATGGATGTGCGGATGAAAATATTACGTGTGAATGAATATGAAAATTGATGGATTAATAATGATGATTGGATGTATATAAAATGTAGAGTTAATTGTTTCAGAAGCCAGAGCAAATGAATTAAAATTAATGAAGGAATTTAGCAGAAATTATTGGAAATTATACAGGGTGGGGACACTTTTTTTGGGGGGGTGCTTTTATGTTATTGATAAGTTTTAAATATGTAGAATTTTTATTAATTTTTTGATGACAGTATTATTAGAATTTTAGGAAGAAATGTGCTTGTTGGATTTAAAAGTACATGTTTTAAAATCAAAGTTTTTAAAAACTTATTGGCTTTTTTAAATTAAAAAAAACCGTCAAAACTTTTTTGAATTTTGTTGAAATTTTAAAATTCATTGTTAAACTTAAATTTATTTTATTTTGTATTTTTAAATGAAATTTAACGAACTTTTAAAATTCAAAAATATTACCGCCAAATTTTTTATGAATTTTCCTTTAAAATTCAAAAATTTACCGTTAAACTTAAGTTTTATTTTTCATCATACTTAGAATTTTTGTCTTTAATTTTAAATTTTGTGAATTTAACTTAAATTCTTGCCATTTTTTAGAAAATCACAACAAAAAAGTTGTTACCTTTAAATTATAAGATTATACAACCCTAGCAAAAATATATAATTTTTTAAGTAATTTCGAATAATGAAATATTTTCAATTGTCACGACAATTAAATGAATTGTATAATGCAACATGTGATATATTTAAATGAAATTTTTTAATGATTTTATGAAAAACTTTTAAAAATATTCTTAAGAGGAAAATTGAGAATTTAATTATTTTTTCAGCTTGTTGATTTTTTTTATTCAATTTTGTACGATAATTTATCGAATTTACCATTATTTATTCATTAAGTGCGATATGAATATCCAATTAAATTATGTATTTTTATTATTACTCGCTTTTCAACTGTTGCAATTTAATTATTTTAATGATTTAGTTAAGAATTTCTTTTCTTTTGTTATTAAAAAGGGTGTGGCACGGGAAAAGGGGAGGTGGAAGGGGTAGAGAGTCAATTACGGTTCAGAATTTTCAATTCACTTTTAAAAACGTTCGAATTTTTTAAATCTGGTTTTTGGTGGGTACGAACCTAGGACCTTCAAAACGCGTGTCACAGTTCTGTAGTCTAACCCTTCAGCCACCGTTACTTTATTGTCACATTAACAGATTCGCCTACATAAAGCCACTCTTGACATCATATCCATGATTAGTATTAGCTTGATTTTATTTATTATTATTATTTTTTTTATTATTATTTGTTTATTCATAGGAAAAGCCACCTGAAAAGTATTTAAACATTTTCAGGTGGCATAAAAACCTTGATTATGTTTCCAAAAAAACATGAACAATTACATTAAGTTACAGCGATATAAATATCGTTTAAGAACTTAAAACTGTATAAACATTTACAAAATTAAATCGTGTTAATTAATTCATAAAGTTAAATAAAAGACATTTTTTTATAAAAATAAAAACTTATTTAATTTTATTTTTTAATTCTTACTTATTTTCACAATGTCACTTCCTCTTTCGTTAATTTTAATTTGATTTGTGAGTCATTTTTATGCTCTCCTACTCCACATTTAATTTAATTATGAAATTCAATTTAAATTTCTAGATTTTGATTTTAAATAATTGCAATCAAATTCAGACTTTTTGAATCACAAATTCATTTTAATACGACTTCAAAAAGTCCAATTAATTTTAATTTAAAGCTAGTATCCGAAGCATATAAAAAAATTAAAAATAATTAAGTTAATATTGTTTAAAAATTACAAAAATTCATTTTTGAATTCGGATTGCACATTTTCGAATTTTTAAGCTTTAAAAGCTCTAAAGCTATTGAATTTTGTTTTACAAAATAGAATTTTTTTTCTTGACAATTTTGCTATTCGACAGGCGAAACTTAAAAATAATATAAAAAAAATAAGCAAGACTTTTTCGCTATTAAATTATTTACCTTAAACCTGCTTAAAACCTAAAGTATCACAATTTTTTTTACAACTATACATTAGACTAAAGTGCAGAACGTTGGCATCCATACTCGTGAATCTTAAACGTGATTCTTTTTCATTAGACTGAATCCACACGTTGAAGGATGTCTCGTTCCTTATCCTCAAACTTAGCCATTTCACGTTTAATGTATGGAAAGACAGCAGAATATTTTATTGACTTTTTGTTGTCAGGTAAGTCGCAAAATAGGAAGTATTTAAGTGCACATAAGGCAATACCAGCTGCTCCAATAAATGCTAGGATGTAAATGATGAGCTTCTGGATGATCGGTAGGATTATGAATGCTATTATTAGGATTATATTGAGGGAGAACTGGAGCCTTTCGACAGCCTGAAATTAAATGGTAAGATTAGATTTTTCAATGATTTTTAACGTACGAGGGTCGTTCACAAATGATGTTTTTATTTGAATCTGATAATATATTGGTATTTTGGTGTCTGGAACCTATAAATTAGAGTTTGGGTCACATAGATTAAGACACTCGGGGACAAAGGGGTTCATTACCACACCTATAATAGTGTCATCAGAAAGTTAAGACTCCATCCTTCCCCCTGTCCTAATATTAACCATAATAAGTGAACGACCTTCCAATTCATCAACTTACACACTCAATCCACACAATCGGCACCGTCAAGTGGTCAAATCTCTTCACCTGAGTATTAAATTTCGTCTCGCCATTCATCAAGTTGAGCTGAATACGTGATGTTATTTTAATTGGAACTCCAAGTCTCTGTGTTAAGTTTAAAAATAAAAAAAAATGAGAATGAAAAAAATGCACATTTTTCATAAATTATAATTGAATATGAACTAATAATAGAGTAGCTTGATCTGCGTATAATTGAACAAGAATTCTTTCATTTTACGTGCTCTATAAAGTGTGTATCATTTAATTATCATATAAATGAATAATTGACAATATTGAATAAGCAATTAACAAAATATTTAAATTTCACGTGCAGCATGATTGCACAACGTGTCAATATTCTGAGAAATTATTAGTTACACGTGGACATTTTGTAGATTTGAATATTTAAGTTTACAAATCACTAATACCACCCACTCCATGTGAATCCTTGACCTAGCCACAATCTTCCCAAGTTAAAATGCATCCACAGCATTAAAACTTATTCAATAGACATACGATCAACTTTTTAATACCCCATAAAATTTAACTATAGACATTAATATTAACTGCAATCATAACTCCCAATGTTAGCAAAGAGAACAGAGTCCGTTACAAACAAAAAAATTCAAAATTTTCGCGCGGTATTTTTTTAAAATTCCAAAATAAGAAAGTCCGTTACTTTTTATTTTTTTTTTAAACTAGTTGTTTTTTAAAGCATAAACATTTAAGGAATGCAATTTCATCACAGTGATTATCTTAATCATAAAAACTAGTAGGAATGTTCACTAAAATTACAAATTACTCGAAAAATAATAATTCACAACGAATTTTTTTAAAAATAAGAACTTCGAAGATTCGATTTTCGAAAAATAAGAACCACAAAATTTCGAAGTTCGAATAATAAGAACTCAAAAATTTCTGTTTGCTAGCATTGGCATAACTCCATAAATTATTAGCATTGTGCAGAAACTCGCAAACAATTTTCAATTCCTTAATAGGATTATGAGACATAAATAGAATGTATTAATACATAGACAACATAATTACGATTATGCACTATAAGCTGTATGAAGACAAAAGAAAATTCATTAACTTACAGGCTGCATTGCAATCACTGATTCGTGTTTCTCCTTTTCCGGATGTAGACCATCAATCTCCTTCAAAAGTGTCGGGTCGGAGTTGTAGTAATGCGGAAGTGAAACGGCAATTGGGAGATCTAAAATGGAAAATGAGAATTTGTGATTAGAATTGAGATGGTTTGAGGTTAAGTAGTTGTCTTAGCATGGGGGAAATAACATGATGGGGAAAAATTAATTGTTTTGTCCATGAAACTTCTAATGTAAGCGAAAATTCGGTGAAGATTCAATAGTAAATGCCTACAAATTTTTTGCACCATGTTGTTTTCCCCCTTGTGTACTAGGCACTCAATGGGCAATTAAAATGGTTTGTTATCCTATTATTATTATTATTATTATTTTTATTATAGAATGTTGTTGTTGTTAAGGAAAAAGCAGTTGCTGGTTAATTAGAATGCATTAGGTTATGTTCTATACTTTTGGATCTTTGTTGAGCACTATGTAGCATTAGAAACAAGCTTTTCGTGAACGTCCTGTTAATATAGCGTTAAGGAATAGCTAAAAGGTTCACTAGCGGTTTAACTTAGATTAACGATTGAATATAAGTCAAGTTCCAATGCATACTTCAAGCTTTATTAAGCAAGTGGTCAGCTGAACGTGTTTCCTAGTACATATCTTCTCATTCTCTAGTGTTTACACTTAAGGTATGCATATAAAAGGGGTTGTTTTAGATTCATGACAAGAAATCCACTCAAGCTTTTAGCCAAAACTATTTTTCTACACTCTGGCCACATTCCTATAGCCATATTCTACAATCAACCGTTTAATCACCTTATTATTGAAAAAATACTACTTCATAGGCTTAAAAATCCAATAACTCATCCTTAATTACCACAAAAAAAATATATATATCCCCTTTGACGACTATTAATCTTGTTAAATAAACAACAAAACTAATATTTTGCAAAACAAAAAACAAAAGATTTTTGCGAACATACGCACTTCACTAATATTCCGAAGGCCAAACCATTGGCACCTCATTTAGACATCCAAATAAATTAAATTGTTGCTAATCCTTTGCCTCATACTTACTATAATAACAAGGTGTTATATTCCCCAAACCACGCTTCGGACACATCTTCTCTCCATTGCAATAACAAATTGTTTCCGGATCATCAATTTTATCATCAAACGCATTATCGGCTAATTTGAACCAATACGCCTCAATACCATCGAGTTTTGCGGTGTGAGAATAATGGATGGCTAGTTTGCGACAAAATGCCTTGCGGTAGATGAAGAATTTATCGTCTTTTTTGAAGCGCTTTGGGAATAGAGTTCCATCGTAAGCACCTCGAAGGACTGCGCATGGATAGTTACTGTGGAAAATAAGGCTAATTAAGCTACAAGTAGTCAAGAAAAATATTTAAATTACATACTTATCACTGTTATTATAACCCCAAGCTTTCAAGCCCGGCGAGCCATTCCACATATCAATCGCATACTCCCTAATATCATCTTTGACTGGCTTCTCATCCTCAATCACTTCTGGCTCTTCAACCTTCAAATCCATTGCTGGAATCTCATTAAATCGATCATAATCTTCATCATATTCTACGTCCGAAACCGATTCAGACACCATTGCAGATGCAAGACTGTTTTCAAGCGGCTCCACATGCTCCTCTGTTTCAATTGTTCGCTTTTCTTTCATTCTTATTTCATGCTTCTCTTTCTCCTCTTGAAGCTTTTTTCTATTCAGAAGTTCAATACCTTCTGGTAAAATCATTGAAACTACGTTGTGGCCTTCATCGAATAGCTGTGAATTAATGTAAAGTTCAAAATGATTTATCAATGAAGAATAATGCCCGAGATGGACATGTGAGTGTGAAATGGTAGTAAGGTGAGACAACTGAGTGATGCAACTAGTTCCTAAGAAACAGCTTTGTTGCTGTATTGAGTGTAAGACGTCAAAAAGACATAGGATGGCTTTCTTCAAGTCAATTTGATTGCAAGAAACTAAGTTTGGCATAATGTGCTACTCAGGATACTAGGTTAAGCTCAAAGACCTACAGAGAGTATAATCCCGAGCAAGACATGAGCAGAATATAAAAATTTATTAATGATCTTGATAAATTGATTTCTTAAATTAACCTCAACCGTCAATCTTTAATAACTCAAGCTAAGAATTCATTTGATGCCTACACAACCCTTGTCACTCGCCATGACCACTAGGCGAGATGTCTTGAGCCTTTTCAGACATAAACTTGTATTATTCGGAACTAAAACATACCGAATACCATTCCATCAATCACATGCCCATCAATTAATCTTAGAACTTAAAAAAAATTACTCTATAAGACAATGATAATGCTCAATAGTCCTCTACTGTCCGCAGTGACTACAATAAGGTATCACTGAGCGTATTCATTGCCTGTCAGTATCAAAACTTACCCGATCCAAAATCCCCAACCTCTCAAAAGTTATAAAATTAGGTACAATATTATTTGCTAGCTTAACTAATTTATCATCATAGCCCCACATAAATTCATCAACAGTCAGTCTTATAATTGGCCTCGCATTCATTGTCTTAATCAACATGGACACGCCAAAAGCAGCATATGTCGATAACTTGGCTGATGCTGTTGATGCAGCAAGAACAACAAGATTTGGTGCCATGATAAAATCCATTTTTGGATCTCCAATCGATCGCTCAGGTACAAAGACACAATGTCGTTTAGGCACGTAGCTCATCGTGCCATTCTCATGAAATGTGGCATTATCATTAACAAGAAATTCCCTGTAGGTTGAAAACATACTTAATGATAGAGAAAAGAACTCAATAAGTGGCTCAACTTACTGATAAACATATGGACCGACTTCTTCAACTTTTAATTTCTTATCAATTCCATTTAGAAACTCTTCGCTGTTTGTGATGTTGAATATGTAAACTTTTAAGAATACTTCTAGCGGTGGTTTTTCCCACACATTGTAGAGGTACGTGCCAGGCCGCACTTGTAGTTGCTGTAAATAAATGGATTAATTGTAAGTGATTTTCTTAAAGTTTTATGCTAAGTTATAAATTGAAGGATGAATGCTGGGTTTGGAGCATAGCTAGGAAACAAACTGCTGTAAAAATAATATGCGCCTACACAAAGACAACAACATCAAACCTAACAAAATAATATTGATCAGTGCTTCCATTCAGCATCCTCATAACACCCGTAAGTTCATAGATCCGATAAATTATACTTACACTTTCAATAATTCTTTCTAAAGGGTCAATGATTGCTATGGCACATGAAGTTATGATTACAATCAGCGATGAAAGGCCGTACTTTATGAGACCTGTAGAAAGAAGAGAAATGAGCAAAAGTAAATAAATGCGTGAGGTTTTTGAACTTATGTTCAGGAAATGTTATTGAATAGATGGCAATAAAGTGCTGCAAGGCTGGCAAATAAGGATTAGTAACCAAATTCTAGGAATTGTCATCTCAAATATTCACATTCCAAAATTCTCACATCACAGTCATGCACATTCAGCTACAAAATATGTGAAATTGAAAACAATCTGTCAGCAATCTTGTAGTTGAGGATCTCATTCATGCGATAATAGCTTATGTGCATAAAAAGATAGAATACAATAAAAGTGAAATTCCTGCAAGTGCCGTGGATGTTGTATAAAATAAAACACGTGGTATTGCAATAAAAGATAGCAAATTACATCTCGCAGTAGCATATCGGACCAATAAATGGTTACATGACGTGCAATTAATTGAAATTGATATGATGAAATACGACTTCTAGCCGTTGCAAAAAGGCTTGATTAATTTCTCAATTTAGAAAATAATTTCTTGAAGATTTATGTTCTCAGTTTAAAATAATTATTTCGCAATTAGCTGTCCATGTTGAGATGGAGACATGTTGGGAAGGTGTAGGAATGTTATTGTTTTGGGATAGTAAAATGTGGAATGCAATGAACTTAGTAATAAATAACTCTAGACTTCAAGAATGTTGTAGGAAATTTTTGTTGCAAAAATAACGGTTATGAAAAGTTTGAGTTTTTAAGATTTTAAAAATAGGGGCAATTCCACGTATGTGATTTTATAAAAATTTCGACTTTAAACTATTTTTTCTCAAAAATGAGCCATCTAGACAATCCAACAACTAGATATGAGTATGTAAATCGATGAATTCTACTTAAATATCTTTTTTTCTTTCTTCTACATGCTTTAATTAACGAAATATTTGGATTTTTGAGACGGTCGCCCTATTTCAAAAATTGGAATTCTTATTTTTTAAGCAAAAATTTTACACTTTGTAGGTATCTAGACAAGTACTCATTGTCAGTATAATGTGTATTCTGTCTTCCTTTATGACCCTGTATACTTCAATCGACTTAAAACACAGTCATTTAGCGGAAAAATGAAAAATTGTAAACCAATAATTGAAATAGGGCGACCTCAAAGCGTTTATTTTATAAATCCGTGAGAAAAAGCAAAAAAAGCAAAATGTACTGTACTTAACAACCCATTGCCTGATTAGAATGTTTTTTTACATAAATAAAGATGATAATGTGGATGTTAAATTAGTTTATGCCAAGCTGATATTAAGTTAAAATACATTTAAAAAACGGTGTGAATATAAAAATTTTGAACCATCAAGTTCGAGAAGAATTACAACTCATTTTTTATAAATTCCACTCATCCATGGAATTGCCCATAGTTTTTTTGGAAGATTTTAAAATCCTTTATTTCAAATATTAAAAAACCCGTAAATTTTCAAATTTAAAAAACGGTTAATTTTTTAAAATTTTAAAAATCCGTTATTTTTCAAATTTTCAGAAACCCGTAATGAATCTCGATAGTCAATATTTATTTAAATTTCTCAAAGCTTCTTCAATGTTATCCTCAAAAATTCCAAAAATTCGCCAAACCAATTCAATAAAACACTCGATAATCCACACTATATCCTCTCATAAAACCACTTGACACATACAATTGTAAAACTCATTTCAATAATACCACACATGATATGACTAATTCAGTATTTTATTCCACATTAACACTTTTGCTTTCAGCATCATTAATATCATCACTTCGGAGTTAAGCTAATTAGCTGTGAATATAGATTTATAATCTTTTGCAAATCCTATAGCTCAGTTTCAATGAAAAAAGTAAATAAAACAAATAAACAACAAAAAAAAATGCAGAAAAAAACTGGAAAGTACGACAAGTGGCAAAAACTGTCGGTCGCTCAAGATCAAGGTTAATAACGTTTACTTTATGATGTCTCTTAATGCCTTTTTTATAGAGATCTTTTTCACAGTTTGCAGTTGCATATTTATTGAGCTGCATTAGCGCAGAGTTGGAAGGCAAATTCCAAGTCAAAAGTAGATTAGTGGTGCATAGACACTAATACTAGCACCTGCATTAGTAAAATTTAAGTTTACTCCGATCTTGATCCTAAAACTTTGAACTTAACTGGCTCAGAATAGGCTATTAGGGGACATAAACGAAATCAAGCTTTATCATGACCCCAAACACCCATCTTAAGACCAACAGTATTAACACCAGTCCCAACTCTGCACGAACGCATATCATCATGAATTAAAAGCAGTTTTTCTCACTTTACTAATTCAATTTATTTTTAAACATGTTGCATTGATACACTTGACTTTGCATTTTATCCTTAACCTCAAAAATAAGTGACGTATGAATGAATGAGATGAAACATTCTAAGAAACCAGCTTTAAAGCTATCTTAAATTGTAGACTGTTTCATAATCTCCTGTATTCTTAAATCCTATAATGCGTACTAGCTTTGCTTCATAGAAAGGATGATTGAGAGCTTTTGTGTATTAAACTAAGGTTCAATAGACTTTTCTTGCTAAGTCATTGTAATGAGCTTAGATTATTACAAATATTTACATTTATTGTGATCACTAATGAGGTGTCATCGGCTAATGCAAAACACGACTTTTGCCAAACAGTAAATATCGTCACAGAAACTCCTCAAAAAGTCTCTTCCAAGTTTAAACAAGCATAACATACAGTCGTCGTTATCACTATGTATATTGAGAGTTTACATTTAGATCACCATTTATGTCATCGAGTAGTCGTTTGCGTAAGCTGGTTGCATGAAAATATTTGTTTGACAAATTTTACAGACATGACTAATGTGGACCAATATTTTTGTTTTTCTGTCTAGTCATCCTGATATGTTTGGTTTTGAACTGTTGGAGGTTGTTTTGGATATTATATAAATTTATCAAATTAGCATTTAACGGTTTCATTGGGATTTCAAATTAGTATGAACACCTGGCAGGTACTTAGAAGGAACAAGTAGTTACCTATAAGGTACTTAAAAGGCACTTAGTAAATAACTATTAGACACCTAGTGACACCTGGTGGAAACCTAGTTGACACTTAATAGACCCTAGTAGATACTTAGGATACCTATGAGACACCTAGTAGCACCAAGTAACTCATAGTAGCGTTTAGTAGACACCCAGTACACACCTAAGAGGTGCCTGATAAGACAACATTTGATTGACAGTTGAAATTACCGATGTTACAACATTTTTTACAAAACACTGATTAAAACTCTCAAATCTGACATTTAAAGTTAAATATTTTTTACAAATCAATTGTTTACATTGGAAATGCCGTCAAAATATAAACAGTTCAGTCCAAAGTTTAGTGCTAATCTAATCGTTCATAATAATAATAACAATCCTTTATTTTAATTGATTTGATTTTAAATCAAATTTTGTTATGAGTAGAATTGAAAAGTAATAGAAAGAAGTGAACTAGTAATGCCTAGTAGTGCAATGAGGTTTGGCCAAAAAAAAAATAAAAGTTACAAAAAAGACCAATATTTGTTTAAATAAAAGTAAGGTAAAATAAAATAGAAAAAAAAATTAGTTCATAATAGCAAAACTTATATCAGACAAAAAACAAATAAATTTATTAGAAGGTTAGTTGATTCTGCATTAGCAATAAATTCTAAAATCAACGAGTTCAATTAACAAATCACTGTCATGCTCCAATAATAAAATGAATCGTGACATTTTAATTTTTATAACAATAAAAATAAAAGTTTTGTGTCTAAATTAACTGTAAAGTATTATAAACAATGTAATTATAATGCACACAATGAATTTTTTTTGCGAAGCTACCTGAGCGGCATTTCAATTCAGTTTCACGTGCTCTGTGTTTTGTTTACATCGTCTACATAAAGACAACGAGTCAGAACAACTCAGGATTAAGAATTCACGTACGATGAGATTTTATGGAGCTTTGACTATAAAAACATCATATAAAATCTCACAGGAGTTGTTTATAAATGATGTTAATTGAAGTTTAGATTCTTAAACAAACTACCACCTCTGTCACATTTTATGGAGTGTCGCACGGCTCAATACAAGCCCATTTTACCAGTATTACATTACATAGATTCCCTTAAGACTCTATTTGACACCTTATTCTCTCAAAAAGCTATCCATCATCTACATCCAACCCCCTACGTGCCTACAATGTAACTCAATCAAAGCCATTTACATCATAAATCATGACAATTATCACGTCTCATTAAGTCAAACTATTTATGCATAAAAAGAAGTATGAGAACCGAAAAAAAAAGTATAGAGTTGAAATCGAAGTTCAATAGTAACATATCCCATATTTATAAAAACCAGTTTGTAAGCAGCTGAATGTTTACATAGCAGTGCATTTATGAAAATGACACGAGTGAGAATTATTTCAGTTTCTCTTTCAAACCTATCATATCATGTTGGTCACGGTCAATTGGCTAATATCTCTTTGCGAATATAATTCTTGTTAAATGAACTCATGTCAATATGTAAATCAATATATTTCTTGCATATACACAACTTATCTTCACGGTGGTCGAGTGTGGTGAGAGACCATGAATCATTGACTAATGCCGCTTCATTTTAATTGATCATTATGTTGCTGAAATGTGCTTGTTATGTTGCACAAATCACTACTAATATCCACTTTATGCGTGTATCACCATGCAATTGCTCTTATTTCGTTCTTAGCTCGTTTTATTGATGAGTGAGCTTGATGTCGTTTGATTGGGTATCGTTCAATGCATTTAATGACATTTAACTGATAAGGATTAAGAGAAGATGAAGGTTTGTAATTGAAGAAAGACAGAAACTTTAGTATTATCTTAGTGCATTGTCAAGTTTACTATACTAAGAAGCAACATTAAAATTTGAATTCAGGGTAGCTTAGTAGTTTCATGTAACCAGTAGGTTATATATCCATAAACACTTAACAAACACACCATTAAGCCACAATTATATATTTAACATAATAA